CATGATTCTCGTACATAGCTCGGATTGCACCGTAAGCCCAAAACTCGTCGCTGGTCATAGTTACTGTGGTCAGCTTTGATTAATGAGTTATCGTCAATGCCAGAGCTGTAGTGGGCACAAAACAGTGCGTCATCCTTCGTGCATATCGAGTGGTGTCCCACTTGGTTGTCACAAGCATNTTTACAGTATACCATTTGTCCATGGGAATTTCCCCTTTTACTGTAATTCACATTGTATAATAAAAAATGTCATCTGTCGATGCTTCTTAAGCGACAATACTTATTCCGAAAACGAGTAACCCTTTTTTACCAAACGGATCGACTGCGTTCTGTTTCGTTCAGTTCTGTGGGTTGAACCAGGAATGGGCGAGGTTTGGTTGCTATGCCACTGATGACAGCCAGCCCATTCACCCAAGTTCACCCCAAGACCTCCAGCCTCTCCCACTGAACAAATATTGTTATTCCAATAGACCCATGATTCTCGTACATAGCTCGGATTGCACCGTAAGCCCAAAACTCGTCGCTGGTCATAGTTACTGTGGTCAGCTTTGATTAATGAGTTATCGTCAATGCCAGAGCTGTAGTGGGCACAAAACAGTGCGTCATCCTTCGTGCATATCGAGTGGTGTCCCACTTGGTTGTCACAAGCATGGCTTCACCGACCCACCCATTCGACGTCCGTCACAGAGCTCGACAAGATGCACGACTGAGGTCGGCCTCATTTCAGCACAGAAAGAGCGTGGGAAGACAGGCGGTCGGTCTGGGAGTAGAAAAAATGTATGATCAATTGACCAATGAGGTGCGCTGAACGGAAGCGGATCCGACCCCAGCGTTTCTTTCTTAACTCTCAATGATGGTTTCTCAATTCCAAATGATGGTTTCGCAAATGAAAATTATAGTTTCTCAAAGCTATCTTAAAATGGTTCGATTGATGGTACCGCAAATCGTGAAAAATTAGCCAATCAGATCGCAGGGATGGTCAGAGGCAATTTATTTGTTCAGGATCGTGGGTTAGAGGGACAAAACAATGCGAAACGATGGAACAATCGCACTGAACTATCCACATAGCAACATGACATGTTAACTTGAAAAAGGTATAGACTCTGTAATCCGTTGCGTTCGGCTGTTTGACAGCCATTGCTTGCTGTGCCTACATTCTCATTGTGAAATCCTGTCAGTCGACTCCCACTTGTAAAGCTGGCGGTACACTACAAGCCTCTAATCCTTGTTTGGTTCACGATAAATTCCTTAAAATTTTTAGATTGGACCCTTCGTTGCCAGACTGTAACTGTTTCATAGAGCACACATTTTACGAGGCATTACTTACCGGTTCAAAAGCCATCTCTGTATCGTCTGTGTCCTGATCTCCCCCAGGTTCCCCACGCTCCGTTCCGTCCGATGGATCCATGACCGGATAGGCTAGATCCAACCAACGCCATACGAATTCCACAAAATCTCTCGAGGTCTGCCCATTTGATCCGGTACAGTTCAGGTGATTGTATTCGGCCAGAGCAATCCACAAATCGGACGCAACGACTCCACTACGTTGCACCAGATCCAAACACTGACGCAGACGACGCGCGGCACTATCAGCCGTGGCCGCGTTGAAGTAACGTAATAGTCGACGAGAAAACCCTGGCGGATTGGGCACATCACAATCATCAACCCTGGTCCCCTCTAGAAGTCGGAATACTTTTGGATTGAGAAAATATTTCAGACAATCAAATACAAGACTGGGTCGAATACAGATCAAGGATATCGGTTCCGGTCGCGCCCCAGTCAGACTCATCTTGCTCCACCATTCCGATTCCTCCTTCGACAAATTCATATACGGTGCCAATACTTGACCCGTATCACACAAGTATCGAATAAGCACCATTATATTGGTCATATCGATGCTGAATTTGGTTTGTAACCTTGTGAAAAATGTTTGTTTTTCATAGAACAAAGGATCGATTTCGTTTGTTTGTGACTTTGTACGTGTTGCGCGACTGACGCTTGTCCAACCTTCTAGATATGTCTCCACATCTGCCCAAGCCGAGGGGATTGGAGCTAGGAGGTAAGGCAATGTGTCTGGAGATTGTAATGTGGCTTTAATTAGTCCGGCGCAGATATCTTGCCACATGGCACTTGATGTGTCCGGGTCTGTTGCACTGCTGCTTGGGATCACTGAACTGTACACAAAAATCCGACTTGTTCTTTGAATCCGATTCAACTGTTCATAATGATGAGCTGTGGATGGGGAGATTGATGGCAACGCTTCAATTCGTCTCAGTTCATCTCGGAACCAGAAGGATCGATCGGCCAAATACGCCTTGGTATCTTGGAGCATTCGGCGTACAATTTGTTCCTGTCTGATTGGATTTGCTATCAGATCGACTTTCGTGCCAATCAATATTGCAGTCACATGGTTCGAACGAACCAAGGCCATCTCCAGCCACTGACCAATCACATTGTGAAAATTCGGGCTAATTTCATCTGGTCGGGTATGTAAGTTGGTTCCCATGTATGCATTCATATCGACCATAATCGCTAAAATGGCTGGTCTGTATGAGGTAAAATACACCAGAGGTTGATAACAAACAGACACAGCACAATCCCAGATGGTTAAACTGGTTTGTCGACTAATCGGAGCCGTATTCAGTGGTTCTGTGTTTTCCGTCAGGTTGGCAGCATCTTTTGGTTGATCAGTTAGGCTGGCAGCATCAAATGGTACGACAAAAGTGTCAATCGCATACGTTCGTTCCTCCCGTTCATCGGCAAAACGACACTGACCGTCAAGCATGCTAAGTATTAGGCTGGATTTTCCGCTTTGTGGTGCACCGACAAGCATAGCTCTCAATCCATGATAAGTTTGCACTTCCGTTTTCGAGTCGTAATAGAATTCCATCAGTGTGTCCATACTATCCGATACAACTGACAGCGGGGGCCATCGAAGCGGATTCCCGGTCAAATCGAGCTGAATCACTTGCGATGCTTTTAGTCCCTTGATCTCCATCGTGTTCGAGATCCACTTGAGCAAGGCAGGTGTCACATGTCTGATTCGATTGTGACTGACATCCAATTGTTCCGCCAATCTGACCAGACCGGTAGACACGGCTGTCAAGCGGTTGTATGCCAAATCGACTGAGAGTATTTTTCGTGTCCCACGATGTGACACGTTCTGTATGATTGGGAGTGTGATCAGTGTGTTGTGATCCGCTTTCAGACAGTCCAACTGTGGCAGAGTGAACAATGCGGCCGGTAATGTGCTCAACCCGTTATAGCTCAGATCAATCACCCGAAGATGGGCCAGACGTCGAAATCCCACGCCCAGTATGGGTTGAATGAGTTGATTTCGTCTCAGATACAAATATTCCAAACGTTTCAGGTTGAACAACTCCGACGGTAAATTAGCGATCCGATTGTAATCGAGATTGAGCACATGTAGGGTAGGTACAAGATCCACTCCCCGTAATGTGTTCAATGCATTGTGTGCGAACGAGAGCCGTGTGAGATCGGTCATTTTGGTCAGAGTGGATGAGGGCAATGCTCCGTCCATTTGGTTCCAGTCTACTCGTAATTCACACAGCGTATTAAACCATGACTTCGGGTTATTAGTCCGTTGTGCCCGAGCGCTGGATGAGGTGGCACGCTTCCCAATACATATGGCCTCATCAATCGCATCGAAAACGTGCAGATCCAGACTGTTCCTTTCTAAAATCAGAGTTCTCAGACGCCATGTAAGTCCAGTTAACCAAGAAGTTGGGATGGTAGATAGACGTAGGCGAGATAAATTCAGATAGGTCACATATGGTGCACCAAGTTGAAGCAACTCCACACTACGAACATTGATTTGTAGCATTTTTAGTGAAATCTGTTGTTCGTAATCCGATAGACATTTATAGACCACGGTCAACCGGATGTCCCTTGTGTCCACGGCTTCAAGTATGGTGTGGAATTCTGTTAATTCCGTCGAATTCAGCTCTCGACAAGGTTTGAAATGTCTCGCATCATGAGGTTTGACCATATACCAAAACATTTGATCACTTGCAGCGGACTTGGCCCGGTTTCGTTCTCGATTAGAAGGATAACGATCCATCGAATTCAATAGGTCCCCAAATATCTCTGACTACGTTTTCAAACGCATGACAACTTATCCAATGCTCTTTGTTTTATATTACTCTAATCAATAATGATAATTTATATATGCCCGTACTTTGATTGAATTTGTTTGAGGGACAATAGTACACAAATGCTGTGATCATACGACTATAGACTATAGAATCCAGCCTCGTGATTGGTAGACCGGAATCACCTGACCGAATGAATGAGTGTGACTGCTTGACACGTTCTGGGTGATGTCACACGCATATCGAACAATAAAACCGATAAAGCCGGAATGTTGCAGCGTGCGTGGCTCGTTGACATATGGTGCGTAAAAACGGGTGAACTGTCTGTCACCTTTTGGTGTTTAAAACAGTGGTGTGCAGTGAATAGCAAATACACACCGGGGGGGGGGGGGAT